TTGAAAGTGACTACAAGGAGGGGTTTTTAACTTTTTTGACAAAATGTCCTCTTCAGAATGATGAAACTTACTTCATCTGCTTCACTTATTTAAGATCACTAGAAGAATTCAGCTAACCCTCAAGTTATTATCTTAATGATATATTTAGAAGACGTGATTTCAGAAGCTAGGGTACAGAAAAAACAAGGCAGTGTGGTAACGAAACTCGCGTTTTCTATAAAGTTCACAAAATTTTAAAACGATTTCCAAGTGATTTAAAAACTGATGCTATAATGACTTGTGAGAGACTTACATCTCTTCAGGAAGGATACGGTTGGACGAATGGCGCATTATTAGATCTGATGGTAACCTACAGCAAACGGATCAGTACATCGGAGGTGAAGCCAGTCGTGGTGGAATCGTCCGGAGCCGGCAGTGAACCAGTGGAAATACTACTGGAAAAGCTAGAACATGTATTTGGTTCCTGGACTGTTGTTAAGAGGCGTTTGATGCGCGCTGCTGCCTACATTCTCAAATGCAGCTGATCAACACCAACTTTTTTAGCTTTTTGTTCAAGTTTTGGACTGATAAAGTTTGTTGTCGAGATTGTTTGAAGATAAAGAACACAAACGGCAGAGGCATAATGGAGACGACTCAGTTTAGTTTAGACGAAGTGAAATCGGCAAAAAATACTTGTATTACTAGCCATTTATGGAACTTAAAAACATCCAAAAACTTCATAACGGCCTTCAGAAAAGCCTTATCTTAAAATCAACGACTTTTCCTGGATTGGAGTCACGGGATTTTTGACTTAAAATAAGGTCCAAATTAGTACTTCTTATTTTAGGAATTTTAGAAATGCTAATAGTCGCAAAATTTGGAAATCGTCGAGAAGGAAAAATCTATCAGCAATCTTTCATCACAGTACTTCTCAAGCTATTTTGAGTACTTCACAAGACCAGAAGCCAGCATCGGTTTCTTGCAAATTCTTACAAAAGGATGGTTTATATTGAGGAAGGATGCATATCGCTATGGGTTCATCCGAAGAAGGAAATATATTTCTATACACACTTGCACATGCCGAAAACTTCTCGGCAATATGCGCTTTTGTTCACTGTTGCAGCGCGATAGCACTGCACAGCAAAAATGCGGAATGGAGAGAAGGCATTCCCAAGTCTGCAAATTTGAATTTCGTGTCTTTACCACACGTAAGACTACGTAAGGAGGTCACTAGCGCAACTACAGATGCTACCGAAGCAAAGCAACTGGAAGACAAAAACACCTCCACCCCCATTTCTCTCCTTATTATGCGTTTTTGCCGTGCAGCGCTAGAGCGCTGCAACAGGCAGCAAAAACGCATATT